ATCTTAAAATCTACTGTGCTCCTTTTAGAAAAAATTATCTTAAAACAAAGTACCATTGACTACTCTAAAACAGCGAGCGTAGCCGGGTATGCAAACTAGTAGATTATATTTTTAGGTCCTTTCATCACAGTTCATTCGATTCGAGCTCACTATGAAAACATCGATCACGGCATCAGTCTACCTTGCTCTAGGCTTATCTTTGGATAACCAAATGGCAAGAACAAGCTAGCAAATTTTTTGAAAACGTTACCTATAAATAAAAATTCAGGGTGATGACAACGTCATCGAGTGTTCAGCACTTACTGGACAATCGTTGTCAATGAAATTTTCCTATAACACGAAAAAGAACAACGTGCGCATTAAAGGCGAAGAGGTAAGACTTCGAAGAAAGGCTTTCCAGAGAAGAAACTTCTGCCAAATTGATTTTGAAACCTGGGACGAAGTAGTTTAGACGATAAGAGCGCAATATTTTCTAAACGAGACTGCAACTATCACTGATAAGGTGCTGTACTGCTCAGCCATAGTAGATGTCGGTGGTTGGCCTTCTTCTTATGGGCAGGTACGTTAGGTTTCATCTTATTTCAAAATTATAGAAGTAATAGATAGTATGAATAGCCTAGCTTAACGAGCAATCTGGAGAATGCGATATGAGTGGGAAGATTTTAGTAATCATAGAGAAATTCTGTAGCCTTACTTACTTTTATCATTTTAAGCTGAGGTAGAAAGAAGACCTTGGAAGCAATGTAACCAAAGCTTTTTCTAGATTAAATGATTCTTCAGGTATTTACATACAATAAAACCCAGAGCTACTATCTACTCTTAGCTGCAGGATCGGCTCTTACTTCCAGTGAGTCCTCGAAACTTTTCTTCTATAGCTTTTTGTTGGTTCAAATTATAATAGACAGTTCGGTAGTCTGAAAAGATAGATAGAGGAAAATTTTTTTAAAAATAATTTTCAAATTTAGGTCTCACTCAACATAAAACAACGGATGTGTCAAGTCCACGAAGGCTGACGGAT